CAGCACCATACCCGTGCTCGTGGGTTTCACCGAAGTGGTAAACGTCTGAGACCTGCATCACTTCGGGCTTTCCTCCCACATTAAGCTGACACGCCGTGATATAACTGGAATACTGTTAAAAGCGGCGTAAAACCCAACTCACTCACTCACTCACCTGGTATAATGTACATGTAATTAAAATTCTGAATTTGATAAATCTTTCCACGTAAGCATAAGAGTTAAGGATGAAGTGGCATTCAGAAGCGGGATCTTAAAGGCGTTTTTACTCATGAAGGTCGCGGACTGTGGAAATCGTTACCAATTAAAGTGTTTCCTTCCACGTTCAGTTTTGGACTTGGACTATTTCAATTTTCTTTGATCAAAGATTCAAAAATAGTTCAAGAGTTTTATTAACAGCTATTTTGGTCACACAGGAAACAAGGGGGGCAACACAATCGAAAGGTGTGCGAGAAATCCGGCCCCGAGCGTCGCTAAATTCGTTTTGAATGTGACACAGTCGTGAAAAACATTTAGTTATTTCAAACACTGAACGGGAGGCATTTGGGCAACTGTAACAACGGGTCGCAACAATGTTAGGAGTCAACACAACAAAAGCTGGGAGGCATTAATCTTTACAATCGTTGAAATGCCGTTCTTACGAGAATGCGTAAGGCCCCGCCGTGATTCAACAGTTAGCTCTCGTGGAGGGGGAAAAGTACTATGTCTACAGCATTACAGATGTCACCTTAGGCCTCTAGTGAGGGTTTGTTGGATACGGTCTGGTGATGAACGACCTAAAGAATAAATTTACTTCTGGGGTTGTTTGTTTTACAAGGTTTGCACACCGGTTTTACGTTTTTACCTCTACAACTGACTGAGTATGGTTTTACGCCGCTTTTAGCAATATTCCAGCAATATCACGGCGGGGGACACTTTCCTCCACAAACGAAAAAAATATATTGAAGTCAGTTTTTATAAATAAATATAGCCAACAATAATAACTTTACGGACTGCTTTTTTAATGATTAACATACACAAAACGTAATCAGTGACATCGTTCAGCGCAATAATACAACAGATGCCCAGCCCATTTTATTATCAGCCAATTAGGAAACAGTAATTTCTAAGTGGGCGTGGCCTAAATAAATTGCTGGGTTAGCCAATCAAATGCCACGGAATCGCTTGTAATTTATTTATTGAAACACATTCTGGGGAATTCTTGAGGGAACGTCGGTATGACTTTTGTGGACATCTATTGTATTACAGTTTGAAAGAAATTAGGAGAAACACTGTGGCAATAGCTTGAATCGATTCAGCGATGTACTGCGATATTTTTCTCAACGAAACTATGTGCTTCGTACATTTTGGCCTTGTCATATTCCCGTCTATTATTCAATCTGATCACGTAATGCTGTTGTCTTAACAGTATTTGAATTTGTGCATCTAAAGATGATTTTGGAAAATAAATCCTGACTATTTGGTTACACTGTATTTAGACGTAAATCCGCGTTTGAGCTGAGAGTGAAACTGTGACTGTAGGCGATAAACTATACACTTATACCGAACAAGGATGTTTTCGAAAACCGGATGTGACGAACGTACTCAAAATTCCGATCATTTCGGACCTTTGTAATTCTGATTCGCTACAACATGAGTGAGTGAGTGAGTTGGGTTTAACGCCGCTTTTAACCATATTCCAGTTATATCACGGCGTGTCAGCTTAATGTGGGAGGAAAGCCCGAAGTGATGCAGGTCTCAGACGTTTATCACTTAGATGAAACCCACGAGCACGGGTATGGTGCTGACAAACCTAGAAACATAATCGGGGCGAAGCGGGATTCGAACCCACAATCATAGGTTTCTGGCGTGTCCAGGGCACGCAACTTTGCACAGCGAATCGCGGCGCCTTAGACGACTGGGCCACCCGTGCCCCCTCGCTACAACATGAAACCAGCAAGAGGTAATGTCTCCCACAAATACATAAACAAACAGATGGGACTGGTGATTTATTGTAAGGAGTGAGTGAGTGAGTATGGTTTTATGCCGCTTTTAGCAATATTCCAGCAATATCACGGCGGGGGACACCGGAAATGGGCTTCACACATTGTACCCATGTCGGGAATCGAACCCGAGTCTTCGGCGTGACGAGCGAATGCTTTAACCACTAGGCTACCCGACCGCCCCTTTTTATTGTAAGGAAGACTTCAGAGTGTATATTTAATAAAACAATCACCCCCATTCCATCAACCTCTTTTTTAGCAGCCTACGCTCATCCCCTTTTTCGTCTCTGAAATTATGGTACCAGTGAAGATTGGGTTAGAATTGGTCTTCAGCAATTCTTGTCGTAACTATGCTTGTCGTATGAGGCGACTAACGGGATCGGGTGGTCAGGCTCGCTGACTTGGTTGATACATGTCATCGTATCCCAATTGTGTGGATCGATGCTCCAGATATCAATCACTGAATTGTCTGGTTCAAACTTGATTTCTTACAGACCGCCATCATAATTAGAGCTGAAATATTGCGGAATGCGGCGTTAAACAACAAACAACCAAACAAACAAGCTGAAATTAAGGTGGCGTGAAATGGGGTAAACATTACTGCACTTATATAGACACGTGCATACACGTGTGTGCGTGCGTGCGTGTGTGTAGTTGCATGTACTAGCCAAAACCTATGCTGGTCCAGCCCACTGAAATACTTTGCCCCAGGTTAACGTGGATACCCAACTCAGACACCTTATCAAACCGGACTTTTCATTTGCAACACTGTACCCCTTAACCCACCCCGAAAATGGTCAGTCTATGAGGAATTTGGTCGAATACTGCGTCTAAAGTTTATATTTCATATAATTCACCCATTCATTAATTTACAGGGAAGTATAAGTAAAAGTGAAAACTGATAAGTCGGAAATGATAATGGACAATTGAATGTGTCATGCGATGATTATTTTTATTCGCGGAAAATTTCAGTTGAAAAACCCGATTAAAATTTATCATATACCCTATTAAGCCGTATTAATCTTGTCCACAAGAGCACATCTTCACATTTCATATATACTCAACAACAATAGTTACTACGATCATATATGCCTTATATGGCTTTACCAAGTGACCAATTGCCTGTGTACACAACAAACCACTGGTCAAGACAGACTAGGGCAACTTGATGCCATTTATATTCGTATTGTTACAATGCACTTCAATTGCTAGGCAGAATCTGTATTTGTTTAAATTAAAATCTTTATGAAGTTTTTTGTGATCGCTTGTATCATGCTACTAAGAAATACAAACACGATGAACAAGAACATATTCACAGTTACTTCTGTTGTTGAGCATACTTTCAGCTCCGTATATATACTGACAAAATAAAGTTAGGGGCTATGAATATCTTTGAGGATACTTTTATGAAAGTGTGAGCCCAGTCCTCACTACAATATCTATCCCCAAACATATTAACGGTCCCTAACCTTTTTTGTTCAGGATTTAACACGGTCCCTAGAACCGAAGTTCATTGTAATCGAAGTTTTGTTGTAACATTATGTAATTAAGACGTCGGCATATACACATACAAGTGTTAACATGCGATGTTATCCCTTTTAGAAAATACAGTTCATGATGTGGCATAATCTTCTATCCGGTTTACCAGTGCATATTGATCAGGTACCGTCCTGAGAACTCCCTACATAGTTTCTGTCACAACAATGAATTGTGTTGGAGTAATCTGGCATAGAGCCTGTGCCAACTCCACACATCGCAATGTCGTAAAGCTGACATTGTAATTTCCATACAAAAATTGTTCACATGTTCCTGTCTGGTTTACGGCATGTCGCAACGCCACATTCACATAAGCGCACACTCGAAACGTTATCTAAAGTATGACTAGTGATAGATTTGGTACCAGGAATATTTGGTTACCACTTGCACTTAAGATTTAATTTTCTTTCTGAATTCGCGTCACCCAGATGTGGAGTCATAAATTTAAATCAATACTGTATTGACGTTTTCGGGATTGTCTGGTCCAGAATCGGTTATTGACAGCCCGCCGTCATATAGCTTGAATATTGCTGAGTGAGGCGTTAAACAACAAACAAACAAACAATAGGTCACGGACTGAACCTGGACCCGGACTGTTCATTGGACCAAGTTACCATTATATACTCACGAGTGGTTAGACGGCTGTTGCACAAGAAATATAGGTAAAAAGATCTGATGACTATCGTCCCTATGGCTTCTAAACAAACTCTTTAACTACTCAAGCCTGTTTCTGATATAATGCGCAGATAATTGCAGAATATATCAATGTAAACCATTTGTGATATTATTAATAATAGTTTTTAATTAAATATTCCTTAACGGCACCGATATTGCCATACTTATAACATATTAAAACAGAACCCCATTATCTCAAACCAAGCCGGGCCGACGTGAAACTTCGAGATTTCCGGACATGAGATAATGAGGCATGGACAGATGAAGCATAACAGATCCATAGACATACGATTGTATACACCATAGTAACACCATCAGACTAACACCAGTTTCTTGACAAAGTCTGGTTAATGGGATGCCACCCTCATCATTTGAGTCATCTGCATTTTTATTCAGTCTGTCCAATTAACAAAACAACAAAATGTCACTCTCGCCCTAGTTAAGCTTGTTAATTCACTGCGGGACATTGTGAGAAGCTTCACATTTCACATTCTATCGAATTTTTATTTGAGTACAATTTCCAAACTTTCTCAAATACACTATCACACCAATTTAATACAAGTTAACACTTGTAACATATACTACAATTATTCTTTAAATGCTGAACGATGTTAGGGCTAACCAATTTACAAGTGCAGAGAAAACCCTTCAACTTAGAATACTTATGTATTAATACGTTACAGCAAAGACATCCAACTGACACAGAACTGCCCAAAATACCATGTTATAGATATAAATAACGTAATAAAGATATTGTAATTTAATAGGAACAATGTGTTCAGCGTGTATAAAATATATAAATTTACTTACCGAAACACCATATGATAACATCCGTGAACAGTTGCCTGTTCATATATCGGTTTTTCATTGTGCACGACAGATTTCTCCTTGGGGATTTCTCGCAATCTGTTGACATTTTTTCTATTAGTATTGTGTCCTTCCACAGTCCTAACGTTAGAGAATACCCGCGCTGCTCTGAGTAATACAACCACTCGAGCCAGGCTCTTGTTTTTATATTGCCGCGGCGCGAGTAACCTTTGACCTCCCCAGTTGTCACGGAAACATGTCAATAGCTTGCGTTTCTTCCTGACGTTCTGGAGTAATCACTTCCTACAGGGATGGCGAATGTGCTTGTACGTCGTGTTGGTGTCCGTACCGACTATACTACGATTTGTGTACAGATATGTTTGATCTCACTGTACATAATAGTTGATGTCTTGGGGTGGGGTGGGATGGTGAGATGGTTGATAACAGTTACACTTTTTAATGCATTGTATGAGAGAGAGAGAGAGAGAGAGAGAGAGAGAGAGAGAATGAGAGAGAATGAGAGAGAGAGAGAGAGAAGGGGGGTAGGGGTGTTAAATAGCGTTCAAGATTATTGCACTAACATAGCGACCTGCATGCACGTGTGGCTGCTTGTACTAGTCCGGTCAAATGCCGCTTTTATAGTGCTAGCCCACTGAGGTACCATGCGGCAGTTTAACAAGCATGACATAGATACCTCACTCAGACACAGTACACTGACTCCGAGCCCCGTTTCTCTGTTTTATCCCCTCTGTGCCAAGCACCAGGGACGGTAACAACAAGTACCATCTTTTAACGTCTTTTGGTATGACGCGGCGGGGGATCGAACGATTGACTTCCATTCTCTGCGCAGGCGCACTACCTGTTCTAGACGGAGGCGGTCAGGCTGAGGGAGAATGCTGTGGATGTTGCGTTTCATGGCTATAAAATACAAAGTGTTGAATGGGAAATGGTGACTTGCTTGATCACTGTGTGACGAAAGATACGTCTTGCTGCAGATCCTTTTCCGATAACCGTCTTGGCTGTGTTGCATGTAGTTAAAGCGTTCGCTTTTCACGCCGAAATCCCGGGTTCGATTCCCCATATGGTGCATTATTCGAAGCCTATTTCTGGCACCCTCCGTCTTCATATTCCTGGAACATTGTTTAAAAATCGGTGTAACAATTCAATTTCTCACCTTTCCATATGAACGTTTAGTTTGTTGTTTTTATGTCACAGTTAGCAATACCCCATGTATATCCCGGCATTCTATACTCGAACCAGTGATTGATATCTTGATAAACATCCCACGTCAGGGCAATGGCATAACCTGGCCACTCTATCCCAGCCGGCATAAAACAAGCACGCCGCACTCAGCAATATTCCAGCTATATGACGGCGGTCTCTAAATAATCGAGTCTCGACCAGACAATCCAGTGATAGACATCATGAGCATCGATCCACGCAATTGCGATACGATGACATGCATCAAACCAAGTCAGCGAGTCTGACCACCCGATCGCGTTAGTCGCCTCTTAGGCAAGCGTAGTCGCCTTTTACGGCAAGAATTGGTTGCTTGACCTCTTCTACCACGGATGTTCACGGGCTATACTCTTACACACGCATGCAGGACACCACGCAAACTACATACATAATACATCTACACTGGTCTAAATACATCGTGTACTAACTACAGTGGCTTTCATCAATATTCAACACAGCTACTGTATACGGAGACAGGTCGTGGAGTACTTATACAAATGTTCAAAGCAAATCAAATATTTCCGCTATAGATCTGATTCATCCATACCTTTCGCTTCCGTCACCGTTTCAGGAAGAAATACTTTAACTAATCACAATGTATATTCTTTACCGGTCATACCTTCGAACGTTTTGGTGAATAACGCCATAATATTTATATTTATGCGTGTCATTAGTTAACGGGAAATGAGAACATGTGATTTTTATATAAATATACCGGATGGGTTTTGTGCACCCGTTAGCTAGTCATCCTCACTATCAATAATGCACATCGTTCATATACATACACTTCTGCATGTTTCGTTTCATCTGGAACCCTTGTTTTGGTTTAACTTGGTATTGTTTGGTCTTTACCTGTACTTACAGTATAGTATATTCATATTTTCCTTTTCTCTTTCACGCCAGTGTAATTTTTCATCGACAAAACTTGGGTCGTATTTGTCCGGTTTTTATTAAGGACAAGGGTGGGTAACTCTCAACACACTTCTGTGACCTTTGTTTTCAGTAATGAAACTTACCATACGAATCCAACAGTATCGAGTCGATTTTGCGAAAATAAAACAAAGGAAACAAAATACAGTCAGGGTTTCTCTTCATAATGTTTCATTTTCTTCGCCACGAGAGAAGGGATGAGTCAGGCTATTACTAATTTTAAATGCGTTTTTTGTGATAAAAAATCCTGAACCCATTATGACTTCGCAACAGAAATTGGACCCTTTGTAACAAGACTGCAAACGCCTCCTTCCCAGAATAACGCATCAATTAATTATTTTATTTGTGCCTTTAATAATTAGTATCATCACATGGTTACCAAAATGGATGATTTGTCTCAATATGATTTTATGCAATAACAATGATATGTACCTCCCTTGTCTGTGTAATATATTGAAATAGAGACTTAATTCAGTCTTGTTCCTTGACAACATGTCACTGTAATTCCCTTCCTTTGGGTTTGTAACCAGAGCAAATCATGAGTCATGGCTCATCCAACTTTGATATTTTTCTTTTCCAACGGTCGTCTTAACTTTTGAGACTACGTGTAGCATTATGTTACCGTTTATGCCAAATCTATAAACATAATTAAACCGTAGCCTTGAGAATGAGTCCACTCTCTGAAATATATACAGTATAATGTTTCATTGTCATTTTATTCATTACTTTATGCAACTGATCAAGCTTATTATATCACGGCGTGACAACTTCATGTGGGAACAAAACCTGTAGTGGTGCAGGTCTTGTAGTAGTAGTAACAGCAGCAGCAGCAGTAGTAGTAACAGTAGCAGTAGTAGCAGTAGCAGCAGCAGTAGTAGTAGAAGCAGTAGTAGTAGTAGCAGTAGCAGCAGCAGCAGCAGCAGTAGTAGTAGTAGTAGCAGCAGCAGCAGCAGTAGTAGTAACAGCAGCAGCAGTAGTAGTAGCAGCAGCAGCAGTAGTAGTAGTAGTAGCAGCAGCAGCAGTAGTAGTAGCAGCAGCAGCAGTAGTAGTAGTAACAGCAGCAGCAGTAGTAGTAGTAACAGCAGCAGCAGCAGCAGTAGTAGTAGCAGCAGCAGCAGTAGTAGTAGTAGTAACAGCAGCAGCAGTAGTAGTAGCAGCAGCAGCAGCAGCAGCAGCAGTAGTAGTAGCAGCAGCAGCAGCAGCAGCAGCAGTAGTAGTAGCAGCAGCAGCAGCAGCAGTAGTAGTAACAGCAGCAGCAGTAGTAGTAGCAGCAGCAGCAGCAGTAGTAGTAGCAGCAGCAGCAGTAGTAGTAGTAGTAGCAGCAGCAGCAGTAGTAGTAGTAACAGCAGCAGCAGCAGCAGTAGTAGTAGCAGCAGCAGCAGTAGTAGTAGTAGTAGCAGCAGCAGCAGTAGTAGTAGTAACAGCAGCAGCAGTAGTAGTAGCAGCAGCAGCAGTAGTAGTAGCAGCAGCAGCAGTAGTAGTAACAGCAGCAGCAGTAGTAGCAGCAGCAGCAGCAGCAGTTTGTAGTAGTAGCAGCAGCAGTAGTAGTATATTGTTTATTAAGTGGCACACGCACTTGTACATGTAAAATATACATAAAATATACACAATATATTTAGTGCGTCCAGTCTTTAGTTGAAGAAACTTAAATATGTACACGTATTGGTTGCTTAAAACTAGTTACGTATGGCAGCTTTAATATATACAAGTGGCGGTATTTTGCTGACATACCTAGAAACATAATCGAGTGAATCTGAGATATGCTTTCTGGTTCGAAAAATATTCGTGATTCGCATAAGTTTGATTCCCTCCCCACTTTGGTACAATGTGTACAGCACATTTCTGGTGTCCCCCGCCTTTATATTGCTGGAGTGTTGCTAAAAGTGGCGTAAAACTCAGTCAGTTACTCACTTCTTATTTGCATAAACTGTAACGATCACGATCACACCAGGGCCCACTTGCACAAAGCAATCTTAGAGTTACGATCATCTTAGCGCTAAGGAGTAATTCACCAGCCGTTATGGCCGACTTCGGTACATTCAGAGTTTCTCGGGTCCACTCGGCTTATTCCGCTACCTTGATAAAGGACAGCAATGGTGTAGTAATATGGCATGAATTCACTGTGAACCGTGCAACGCGAGGTCCCGAGGTTCGTATAACATAAGAACCATGCTTGAAGACAGGTATTTCCGTGCTTAACGGAATTTAGGTATTGCTCTTTGATTTGAAGACAATAGAGAACGGGAGCAATTTTAAGTTATAGTAGGTTCACGGACGCCGCAAGTTTGTGTTTTGTCATAGGAACGAAACAAGTTCCAATATGGTTTCCTGCCAATGCTGACCGAGGTGCTATCGGAGTGAGTGAGTTGGTTTTAACGCCGCTTTTAACAATATTCCAGTTATATCGCGGCGTGTCAGCTTAATGTGGGAGGAAAGCCCGAAGTGATGCAGGTCTCAGACGTTTACCACTTCGGTGAAACCAACGAGCACGGGTATGGTGCATAATCGGGGCGAACCGGGATTCGAACCCACAATCATAGGTTTCTGGCGTTCCCAAGGGACGCAACTCTGCACAGCGAATCGCGGCGCCTTAGACGAGTGGGCCACCCGTACCCTCTAGGTGCTTTTGGAACCGAGTGATCCATAATAACTGTCCAGGCTCGGGTTTGAGGTGTAGATGACGATTATTTATGAATCCTGCGTGTATCGTCCTGACCAGTTCGCAAAAAGAATGAAGACTAACAACCCACCCCCAGCCCCATCCCTGAAAACTATTAACGAAACTATGTGTTACGGGCAAAATGATACGGATCTTCACAGGTGTTCATGAATAAATGCATTTTGGGAAGGGTTGAACAGGGAAGGTGACGGGTTCAATAATGTTTTGAGAGATCCGTTAACATCCTTATAACACTACAATCATGTAGTTAATGTATTGTGCTACACATCGTCACGAGGGGGCGATGATAGTGTGGGACCTTTCTCATAGTATTTCAGTGACAACGTAAGACGACAATCAAACGAA